TTTATTAAAAATATGTGCGATTATTAAGAGTTAAGAATTTTTTTTAACATAGAGTAATGTGACGCTTGATTTTTGAATATTGTATTTTCTAAACCAGTGGTCGGCAACCTTTTGATAATAATGTGCCGACTTAGAGTTTTGAAATCATTTAATGTGCCAACAACATACGTATTTTTTATACAAGTCAAGGTCAATATACCTGTTCTACAATGTATTTTATATAGTATATATACACTTTAGTATATATTAGAATTGAAGCAGCTAACTATCTTTTTTTGCGTTGTAGTAGTTACTAGCAGTAGAGCCCGGCGTTGCCCGGGGATGTAACAGTAAGAGATAGATCAAGTAGGGACGATCATAAAGACTGAAAAATAAAATTGACAAAGATTATTGTTTAAGGTTGACGGACACGCATGTCTTAATTAGTTTTTTTTTTTTTTACGAATTAGTCAAACCCAAATTCAAACAAAAACATTGTTTACAATCGTTATGAGTTATGGAATAATACAGTAATTCCATCTACGTTTTACGCGCGCGAGTTTTCCTCCCCTCCTTCCACACTTGCGTGTGTGCGCGCGTCCAATGATTACACCCCTTCCTTTCTCGTTAAGCTAAATATAGTAGTAAACTTTTTTCTTTAGTTTTAAATAAGTAAGTTATTGTCGTTTTATCAGCTCCTGTTGATATCTAAAAAATTTAAATTACCGTTTTTTCCCGCGTTTTTCTCTGACGTCACGGACAAACTAATCGTTTGAGTTCAGTCGGGCTAAAAATTTCGATCCATGAAGTTGACTCATTTATCCCTCGTCAGTCAACCTTAAATACAGATAAGGGATATCTTACTGACAACAAATAATTCTTCATCCCTTTTGGCTCGTCGCAAAAAATTTTCTTCAAGACGATGCAACCAACAACAAATAAGTCTTCGTCCCTTTTGGCTCGTCGTAAATTTTTTTTAGCAGCAAATTCAATGCCTGATCCCAAAATCTGAGATGACTGAACTTTTTCCTCAAAAGGATATCTACCGTGAACCTGAAGTAAAAAAGGGTCTTAAAAAAAAAAAAAAAAAAAAAAAAAAAAAAGATAAAGTTTTCCATTGAATAAAAAATCGGTTGAAAAATGTAGATAGCCTTTCTCTGTTAATCTTTTACAATTTATGATTTTTACTTATTGAATACTGTAAAAAAATTGCATATTTTACTTGTGGTGATTCATAATTAGAATTCTGATTTGAATATATTTTTCCACTCGTTGTTTCTAATACAAAAAATATTAACTTTATTTGGGTTTATTAATTTATTACAAGTACTGTGTTCTTTCCTTAATAATTATCATCTTCGAAATATTGTTGTTTTTTGTCTATAAGATTTACGTCGGCATTTTTAAATTATTTCTTAATACTTTCTTTTAAATATTGAATTAATTTCAAATAGAACCAATGCCTTATTGATCTGCCTTGTAACAAATTGCAAAGGAATTGAAAAACGACCCTAAAGTACATGGAATTATCTTTTCCCTATTTTATCAAATCGAAAAAATGATTGATTATCTGTCCTTTTTTTTGACCAAAAAAAAACAATATTTTTAAAGAAAATTTCAGACGTGTTAAGAACGATTAAAATGTAAAAAAATACCCCTAAAAATACTTTGATCTTTCCTCTTTAATAATAATATGAACATTAGACGATAAAATTTTGTTTTCGTCTAGTTCGTCGTCTTTTTCATCATGCTATGCTCTTTTGTTTACATTTTCAGCGGTGAGTTGTCCCCCTTTCATTCTCACGATGTGTCTTAATCGTGTTTTCAAATTGATTTTCTTAAAAAAACAACTGTGTTTTTCCCATTTTCTGCCCCATTAGAACCACCACAGGGTAATTTTATGTAGTCCTGTGAAGTTTTGTTGAATTCGGCTAAAAAATGTAGGAAATTCGATCCAACATATAAACGTTACAGACACACACACACAGACACAACATGCGTTTTATAATAAGTAAGATTATATTCGGATATATGTCATTTGCGGCTATATATCTATTGAAATAAATATATAGCGTGCCAAGTATAGCACGCGTGCCGTAGGTTGCCGACTCCTGCTGATGAGTATTATTATTTAGCATATTTTCTGAAAAGTAATCTTCAGCAAGTACCTCCCAAAGGCTATTGCTAGGGTCAGTTTTGATGTTTAAGATCATTTGTTAAGCTAAGATTGTTCAAAATAATACCAATCATATCTTCCTTAAACCTATACTCTGTTTCAAACGCCGAGTTTTACAGGCAAACATGACTTTCTCTTGTGAAAATTTATGGATGTTTTTATTCATATTCTTTATATATATGTAAAACTGCCTGAAAATGCAAACAAAATCGTATATAAAAGAGATAAAAGATACCACACAAGTAAAAATAGATATGGAAACATACATCTTTTAACTGACCGGACAAATTACCCCAAAGTTCCGCCTCTGTTCCTATTCGCATCGATGTGCAAAAAAAAAAAAAAACTACTGTGAAATGTCCACTCTACGTTGAAAAGCGTACAAAACCATATAATTAACGCCACGCTGAGAAATGAAGACGCGAGTCATTGTATTTATTTGTTTATTTAGGGAGTTACTTGTCCGGTCTGAGTGAGTAGGTAGGTGACAATTCGAACAGCTTCGGCCATTTCTGTCATTTAGATGCAAACAAAAGAGTTTCTGAAATGTATGTCATATCTTTCTCGAAATCAGTTTACCCCAAACAAGGCGGGAATTCCACTAGTGCGCAAGGATTTCAATGTTGAAAGCGAAAAGAATGTTGGTATAGGGATTAATGAGGCTCGTTAAAAAGGATGAATGGATTTCAAGAACACAGAAAATGGCGATTGACTTTGCATTTAATTTTTTTTTATTATCAGAGAAATTGTAAACGGAAGGAATTCCACAGGCGGAAGTGCAAGAGAAGAAGGAAAAATCTGTTGATATTTTAAACTTATCTATTACTAAAAAGTAAAATAATCTTTTTTTTTCATCAAATGGTTATGGAGGTTTATCAAAAATTAAAAGCAAAATTGATTCATTGGAAAAAAAAAATGGTTGACATCCACTGGCTTATATCATCAAATCATTACTTGATTCTCACTATTATATTTAAAAGCACCCCTCCCCCACGAGGAATTAAAAATAAAGCATATATATCCTAAACTTATCTATTACAGTGTAACACGGATATAAGAGACCCGGATATAAGAGAAACCCGGATATAAGAGAGATTGTCTCTGGTCCCAAATTAGAGCCTGTGTTAATGTATATAAATTAGACCAAACCTGGATATAAGAAAAAACCGGATATAAGAGACTTCTTCTCCGGTCCCGACAACTCTCTTATATCCGGGTTACACTGTAGTAAAAAATAAAATTATTTTTTTTTCATCAAATGGTTATGGAGGTTTATCAAAAAATTAAAAGCAAAATTGATTAATTAGAAAAAAAAATGTTTGACATCCACTGGCCTATATCATCAAATCATTACTTGATTCTCACTATTATATTTAAAAGCCCCCCCAAAACAGAGACCATGCGATTAGACAAAGCCCGAGTTTAAAGGGCCGAATCTAATAAAGCCCGTAGATCGGAAAAATTATTCCCTAGGAAGTGCATAACTGGAAAGGTCATGTCTAATAACCCCGGACGTTTTCTTTGCCCTTCGGCAAAGCTCTCGTCCTGGTTCCGCTCGCTCAGGGCAGAGATTTCGACAGAAATGAACAATCTGATGGCTTAATTCTCACTATGAAAGATTATAAGCCTGAGGGTTTTTTTGTTTTGTGGCTGCCTGTATTGAAGATCCAACTTCGGAGCTTTATCAGCTGGTCAAAAAAACACAAAATTTATTAATCACGTGACTAATGGGAGTAAAAAGAAATAACTGCAGGAAAAAAAAACCAACTTTGATGTCACAAATGTCGAACGTCGTAGAAAAAGACCAGTAAAATTATAAAAGGCGATTGCAACTACAACTAAAGAAGCCACAGTAGTCCTGGAAATTAGGATAAGGTATCTGGTTAACAACGGAATCACACTGAATGCTTCCACTGGTGTTTTCTGGAAAGTAAGAGGCAAGCACCTCTTACAAGCTATTTTCATGGTCAAAATTATAATTAAGTCAACTGTTATGTTAAGATCAGTAAAGTAAATATATTGACTCGCGTTTTCATTTTTCAGTGTGGCGTTAATTATTTTGTTTTGTTCACTTTTCAACATGAAGTGGATATTCCTCAGTATGTATTTTTTGCACATCGATGCGAATAGGAATCGAGGCGGAACTTTGGGGTGATTTGTCCGGTCAGTGAAAAAAAATGTATGTTTCTATTTTTGTTACTTGTGTGGTATCTTTTATATTTGCGTATGTTCTATTTCTATCTCTTTTATCCATAGACAACTCGATATTCCACTGATTTTTATAGGATTTTTACTTGTATTTTGGTCTGGAGTGGCTAGGTAGGCGGCATTTCGAACAGCATCGGCAATTTCTGTCATTCAGTAACTAAAAAAGAGTTTCTGAATGATATATTTATATATATATATATATATATATATAATCAGTTCCAGAAAAAAGGCTGAAGTGCCCTTAGTGCAATGGGAGTTACAAAAAGTGAAACTGAAAAGGAAACTTAGTAGTAGGAAGATATTGTTGAAAGGCTGTTTTCTGCAAAGTATTCAATCAGCAACCATCACTTAGGTTTTTTTTCAGGGTCAAGGGTTGATAATTAATATCAACTGTTATGTTAAGATCGACCAAAATATCAATATCTTCAGCCGAGGTTCGGACACGACTTGGCTATAGTGAATAGGAACCTATAGCAAACCGTATTTGAGCATAAAGCGAATGATCGCCTTCTCGTCAAAAGAATTAACAAAAAGACATTCAAGACGTTTTTTTTTCTTTCTTTATGCAAAGATATTTTCCGTTTGTTTACAAGAAAGAAAAAGAAGCAAAAAAAAAAAAAGTGGCGGGGTGAAAAACTCATCGAATCGTAAAACCCGTCTGGATGTGGGTTGTTGTCGAAAGACAGATAATGACGAAATGTTTGGTAATGGATGGGTTTTGGAAAACAAATCTCTGTGAAAAGACGTGACAGGCGAAAACAGACTGCCAAATCAAGTGACGAGAGCCGGGTGCGGGGCGAAACAAATGGCGGGAAGGAGGCTGGAAAGTAAATTGTCCGTTCCGCTTGACTTGCTGTCTTTCAAAATGTGTGAAAAATCTCTTGCAATCACTTTGCATAAGAAATGAAATGGGGATGTGTTGTGTGGCGAAGAAAAAAAAAAACATTAAAATTCATTTTGATGAATAACCGAAGGAGATGAAGGAGATAATCGGTTGATAGGTTTTAAGATTATATTTTAAGCAGCCTGAGACAGAACCCAAAGAACTAAATGGATAGATGAGATATATAGAGAAAAGAAATGTCAAATACAGATGGAAAAACGAAAGCAGACAAGGCAATAGAAAAAAGATAGATAGATAGATGTGAAGAGGCTGAGAGATAGATAGATCAATGATAAATAGATAGAGATACGGGATAGATGTGAAGAGGCTGAGAAAGATAAAGGGATTTAGATAGATAGATAGATAGATAGATAAAAAATGAATGATGAATGTGAAGAGGCTGTTATGAAAGATAGATAGATAGATAGAGGTGAGAGCAGGACAAATAGATAGATAGATAGATGACAATGTGCTAGATAGATAGATCAATAGATAGAAATGGAAAGAATGAAAAGTTGGAAGATAATAGATTTTTGAAAATGGAAGTTGATAAACTGATGCCATGGATGTGAAGAAAAGCTGAGATAGATCAATGGCTAAATTGGTAGATAGATGAACGGAGGATGAATGAATGAAGGAAACTTGTTGAATCCTAGAAGGAAGAGAAATAGATGTCCAATATGAGAAATGAAAGAGTTTTGGGGAGGATGCTATACACGAATGGATGATAGAGGACAGATAGATAGAACAGAAAGAAATTGTTTTAGAAAAATGGATGTTTTAGATAAATTTTCCTAGAGATGAAAAGATAATATGGAGGCTGAGACTAGATAATGAACCCAATAGATAGGTAAATGGATAGATGGATAGATGGATAGATAGATAAGGACGAAGATAGATAGAGCAGATAGAAGATAGATAGATAGATAGATAGATAGGGTTAAGATACCAAAGTGAAGACCAGGCTGAGATAGATAGATAGATAGATAGATAGATAGATAGATAGATAGATAGATAGAACAAAAAGAATTTGGATGAATGAACTAGATTGTATACCAGAAACATTCTGAGATGGAAGATGAAGATAGATAGAAAAGGGAATTGATTGAACTAGATAGAAGATAGATAAATCTAAGAAATGTTTGTTTCATAGGAAGAGGATGAATTGAGATAGACCTATAGATGGATGAACCAGATAACAATAGATAGTCTGGGAGGATTGATTGATACAAAGATTGATAGATAGATAAGTGAGATAGATAGATAGATAGATAGATACATAACCAGATAGATAGATAGATATCGAATGGTGATAGACTAACCAGATAGATAGATAGATAGATTCCGTGATAGATAGATATGGAAGAGGCTGAACTAGATGGATAGATAGATAGATAGATAGATAGATAGATGGGCTGCAACCAGCGCAGGGTTGAACTAGATAGATGTACAGCGTGATCCGAATTGGGAAGAGGACAGAGTTGATGAATATAGACAAGAGAGATAGATAAATGGATAGATAGATCAAGAAAAGAAAAATAGATAGATAAATTTATTAGGAAACCCAGATTGACTGAAAATTGAAAGATGAATACTGGAAACCTAGATAATAAAAAATGCTTAACTAGATAGATAGATTAAAAGGATAGATAGACACAAACATCTTAGATAGATGTATGAAGATAGATAGAGAGGCTGAACTAGATAGATAGATAAACAGATAGATAGAAATAAAATAGATAAAGAAAGGCTGAACTAGATAGATAGATAGATAGATAGATAGATAGACAGATAGATAGATAGATAGAATATAGGGAAGAGGCTTATTATTGAACTAGATAGATAGATAGATAGATAGATAGATAGATAGATAGATAGATTTGCGGGAGAATTTGGAAACTAGATAGGAAAGATAGCCACTAAGATAGATAGTTGATAGAAGATAGAAACCTTACCTAGGAAGAAAACAAAGGAAGATAGATAGATGGGATAGATCGGATCTATATGTTACACAAGGGAAGAGGCTGAAATAGATAGATAGATAGATAGATAGATAGATAGATAACCGACTAGATAGATAAGGAAGAGGCTGAACTAGATAGATAGATAGATGTAAAAGTCTAGGGACCATGCTGAACTAGATAGATTGATAGATAGATCATCAGATAGTCGAGGGAAGAGGCTGAACTAGATAGATAGATTTCTGATAGATAGATGTTGAAAGACCTCTGAACTAGATAGATAGATAGATAGGATAGCTAAGGGAAGAGGCTGACCATAGGATAGGATAGATAGATAGATAGATAGATAGAAATATGATAAGTGGGAAGAGGCTGAAATCGATTGATAGACAATGATAGATAGATAATAGATAGATAGATAGATAGATAGATGTCAAAGGCTGAGATAAATAGATAGATAGATAGATAGATAGACCAATACAAGCAGGATGAATTAGAAACTTATAGCTATAGGATATAATCTGGATAGATAATTGGGAAGACACAGTGAACAATGGGCCAATAGATAGATCAGATAGAACGTTAGCCCGATAAGGGAAGAGGCTGAAGGTTAGATAGATAGATAGATAGATAGATGGATACTCAGATGATTAATAGATCTTCAAATGACTCGATTTTGATAGGATAGATAGATAGATAGATAGATAGATGATATTTAGATTCTCACCTAGATATTGGGAAGAGGCCGAACTAGATAGATAGCATAGATAAGATAGATACAATAGATAGATAGATAGATAAGGAAGAGCCTGAACTATTAATCATTAGACGTAGATAGATAGATAGATAGATAGATAGATACGCGACAGAGTTGATAGATAGATAAGGGAAGAGTTTCAATTGAACTAGATAGATAGATGTAGATAGATAGATAGATACTATTAGATAGATAGATAGTCTGGCGGGAAGAGGCTGAACATTACATAGATAGTTTAGATAGATACAATAGATTATTTGTGTCTTGAAGATGCTCTCTAAGGGAAGAGTCTTGCCTAACCATTTCAATTAGACAAATAGATAGATAGATAGATAAGGGAAGAGGCTGAACTAGATAGATAGATAGATAGATAGATAAGGGAAGAGGCTGAACTAGATAGATAGATAGATAGATAGATAGATAGATAGATAGATAGATAAGGGAAGAGGCTGAACTAGATAGATAGATAGATAGATAGATAGATGAAAGAATAGATAGAGATAAGGAAATGGTCTGAGACGAGATAGATAGATAGATAGATAGATAGATATCAATAGATAGATAGATAGACAGTCTGAGTTGTGCATTGTCTCTTTGGGGATAGACATGGGAAATAGTCTGAAATGAATGAATAGATAGATGAATAGATGAATGATAGATAATGAAAAGAATGAGATGAATGGACAAAGATGGTCTGAGAAGATGAATATAGAAAAGGTATTGAATAGATAGATGGGATAGATAGATATGATAGATAGATAAATGGATATGAAAAGGTAGATAGATGAATAGATAGATGGATAGATAGATAGATGAATGAATGTATAGGAAGATATTAAGATGAATGGATAGATGGATAGATAGATAGATAGATAGATAGATGGGATGAATAGATATCAACAATGTACGAGATACGAACAGTCTGAGTTGGGCAGATAAGATTGCATTGTCTCTGATGGTCTTAAATAGATAGATAAATGAATGAATGTCAAACGACTAGAGGATAGATAGATAGATAGATAGATAGATGAATGAATTAGATGGTGATGTTTATTTAAAATACAACCGTATATCATGACTACAGGAAGTGGATATCCTAGTTTGGTCAACTTGGCGTATAGGCCAGCAATACATACACTGATTTTATACGTATATGATACGACCCTCTTAGGTAGCTTCCAAATTACGTCTCAAATAGTGTCATGATACGGGAAATATATAAATGAATAGATAGATTGATACAGTATCTATTCGTGTAAAGATGTGATGTTTTGTTTAATTAAAGGTATATTTTGACTTCTGTAAATGGATATATAGTTTGGTCGGCGAACAGCCAGTGCGCGCAATATATATGCTAATTTTATATATCGTGAATGATTTAACCAAAATTTAGATCTTCAAAAGTATGATGACACACGACTATATACATTAATCATTTTTTTCATCTAGATTACACATATCTATATTTTAAAATTAAATTTATAACATTTCAGGAGGGTTCATTTTGCTATATTAATTCGTTGAAAATAGTCCCCATACCAGGAAGCTCAAAAAACAAAATGTGCTCATACCACATGTTTCTTAAATTTAAAAAAAATGATCGAATTAAATTCGAATACGTTTTTTCCATATCTATAACAATTAAACCCTCGGATGTTCTTCTATATTGCCGGGTCCCTGAAAGCCGTTGGCAATCATAAACCTCCAAATTTCCTGACCTTTATAAATCTTTTATCGTTTCTTATCTCTGCTAACCCCAGCCTGCTATCCATTTACTCAAGACTGTCTATAGGTTGCTGTGGTTTTCATGTAGCTAGATGTGGGCCAAAAGTAGTGGGCACCCAGTTAGAATCGAACCACTACTTTAAACTACTGTCTTTTTGTTCCTCTCAAACCCGTCATTGCTCACATGCATGGTTTTCAGCATTCTACAGCAGAACTAACTTTTCTCTTCACGTACTTCTCCATTCAGAAGAAATAGCACAGCATTCAATTTCATATAGGGAGAATTGCAATTACGTAACAGTCAAGTAAATAAAAACCTTTCAATGTTTCATATAATTACCTTTAAATTAATTGCGGTTTCTCCTATGTATTCCTTGGGGCGGTTATTACAAGTTATAAGATTGAATGCACCTACTTTGATTTTTAGGTTTATGATTTTGTTTCGTATTAAGTTTTCATGTTTTAAGTAGTTGTAACTAATTTTATGTTAACAGTGTTGCATACTATAATTAGTTAAAGTATTCAATAATGTCTCTAGAAGTTTGTCTTCAAGTTTAGGATTAACAGGTATCTGCCATTTCCTTCCCACGTCGAAAACCGGATGTGACACAAGGTCAAAGGTTTTGAAATGGGTTTTTAGTGTCAATACCATAAAAAAACCGCCCCTTTTCTGCGTCAACTCAAGAATTGCACAATAAGCCTTTCCAGGAATTTGGGTACTACAGTGGGTGAGGTAAAGCCTCCAGGAGCTTGGGCTAATATTTAAAGATATAATAAATTAACGTCTAACTATTAATATTCGTAAAACAAGTATCGTTTATTTATATAGAATAAATTTATATGGTGGATAATTATATGGTAGATAAATTTATGGTGAAGAATTTTATGATGGATAAATTTATATGGTGGAGAATTACATGGTGGATAAATTTATATGTGGGAGAATTACATGGTGGATAAATTTATATGGTGGAGAATTATATGAGATTTATACGGTGGATAAATTTATATAGGAGAATTATATGGTGATAAATTTATAGGAGATTTATATGGTGGATAAATTTATAGGGTGGAGATTTATACGGTGGATAAATTTATAGGGTGGAGATTTATACGGTGATAAACCTATATGGTGGATAATTATAGGGTGGATAAGTTTATATGGTGGAGATTTTATATAGAATAAATTTATACGGTGGATAGTGTCAGATATTGTTCTGATAGTGTCGATAATGTAAAATTATAATATTTCACTATAGAAATATAGACATATCCTGAAGAAGGCCGAGGCATGCAACGACCGAAATGTTGGGAACGAGATAAAGATGAGGACAGCAGTCCGAATAAGTAAATATTATAAATCCACATCATTATTAATTCATTAGATTTTTTCTTTCATGGTTTCTACAAATTTGCGACAACTTTCTTCAGTTTTATTTTTTTTTGGATTTACGTTATATGATTTGCGGTATAAGGTGTAAAGTTTCAGAAGGAGAAATCGGAGAGCTGAGTTCGAATTTGGTCGGCTTTGTTACATTCACTTACGCGCAAATACCATGGTAAATATATGAATCTATCTCTTACCCCCCCAGCTATGATTTGTACAGAGGGACTTATAGTTTGGTTGGCAAACCAGTCTACCACAAAAAAGAACGATAACCTACTGGCAGGAAAATTTTCTGACTAGTCCGTCCCAAATCCAAAGAGACATGATCTCAAACCTGTATCGCATATGGCACTTAACCGATTGACTAAGTTAGACCAGCGTACTTATCCTGGTTGTCAAAACAAGCAATATTTAATTTCAATACAAGATTGTCTTACAGACATATAGATTAGTGGATCAGAGTGTTGGTTTTTTAAAAAAGTCCTTTATAGTTGTGTGTTCAAAGTCTTTTATCTGGTAGTGTTGTAAATTAGATACGCTTATTCAGTGGAAGAATCAGACGAGCGAAACAAAAGTAACCAGCATTAATAGATCTGAGTTATCTCCCTTAGCATGGACGATTGAATGAAAACAAGTTACCCTGGGAACTGATTAAAGGTTCTTTTTGCGAAATTCCGAGTTTATTGCGTAATGAAATGAGACAACTGAAGGCCGAAAGGTAAGCGGCCGAAACGTTTAAGTATAATAATAGCAAACAAAAATTAGCATGTTGGTTCGTTAAATCATGTATTTCATCATAAAATAACTTGTTTTTGATTTGATGAATACAATTTATTCTGAAGGGGTGTGTTCAATTGTCTATGTTTGGCCTGTAGTTTTACAGGAAAGAAATTAAAACAATAAATAATTGTTTTGAGTCCCTCGTCGTAAGAAGTACGGCCTCTTCTACGATGTACCATGTCCAATCAAGATGGCTTCCACAATTTCCTGTCTTTTGTAGCTCTTAATAAATTTTGTCTTTTTTGTTATTTCTCCTAAACGGCTGTTCCACCATCCATTTACTCAAGCTCATTTTTCTTTTTTATCTGCTATGTTTCTTCGGGTGTAGGCGCGATCATGGCTTCCACACCCCTGTCCATTGTAGCTCTTAATAAATTGTATCTTTTTGTTATTTCTCCTAAACCCTGTTCCACCAGCCATTTAAGGTCATTTCTTCTTGCTCCCATATTCCTTCTGGATTGTGGGCGATGATGGCCCTCCCCAATTTCCTGTGCTTTGTAACAACAATAAATTTTGTCTTTTGTTATTCTCTGCAGCCCTGTTCTACCATCCATTTACACAAGCTATTTTTTCTTCTTTATGTGAGATGTTCCTTCTGGATGTAGGCGTGAAAAAATTTCCCGAACAGCTTCCCATTTTCTTTAGATGCAAACAAAAGAGTTTCTGAAATGTATGTCATATCTTTCTTTCAATCAGTTTACCCCAAACAAGGCGGGAATTCCGCTAGTGCGCAAGGGGTTACAAGGTGTGAAAGCGAAAGAGAAAACTGAGTATAGGGATTAATGAGGCGAAGAAAAAGGATGAAAGGAATTCAAGAACACAGAAAATGGCGATTGACGTTGCATTTAATTTTTTTTAGTTATCAGAGAAATAAGTAAACGGAAGGGAATTCCACAGGCGGGAAGTGCAAGAGAAGAATTAAAAATAAAGCATATGTATCTTAAACTTATCTATTACTAAAAAGTAAAATAATCTTTTTTTCATCAATGGTTATGGAGGTTTATCAAAATTAAAAAGCAAAATTGATTCATTGGAAAAAAAAATGATTTGACATCCATCATTTATATCATCAAATCATTACTTAGTTCTCACTATTATATTTAAAAGCACCCTCCCCCGAGGGAATTAAAATAAAGCATATATCCTAAACTTATCTATTACAGTGTAACACGGATATAAGAGACCCGGATATAAGAGAAAACCCGGATATAAGAGAGATTGTTCTGGTCCCAAATTGAGCCTGTGTTAATGTATAAATTCAGACCAAACCTGGATATAAAGAAAAACTGGATATAAAGAGACTTCTTCTCCGGTCCTGACAACTCTCTTATATCCGGGTTACACCGTAGTAAAAATAAAAATTATTTTTTCATCAAATGGTGGAGGTTTATCAAAAATTAAAAAAGCAAAATTGATTAATTAGAAAAAAATGTTTGACATCCACTGGCTATATCATCAAATCATTACTTGATTCTCACTCATTATATTTAAAAGCCCCCCACGAGAGAGTATGCGGCACAAGGCCGAGTTTAGGTGGGTTCGAGCCCCGTAGACTCGGCTAAAAAATATTCCTTAGAACCTGCATAAACTGGTTCAGGTCGTATCTACCTCCCGGACGAAACTTTGCCCTTCGGCAAAGCCTCGTCCGGGTTACGCTCTGCTCAGGGCAGAGATTTCGACAGAAATGAACAATCTGGCGACTTGATTCTCACTGTGAAAGTTTATATAAGCCTGAGGGTAGAAATAACTTAAGTGGCTGCCTGTATTGAAGATCCAACTTCGGAGCTTTTACAGCTGGTCACAAAAACACAAAATTTATTAATCACGTGACTAATGACTACAGTAAGAAGAAATAACTGCAGGAAAAAAAATGTGGTTGATTGATGTCTAATAAATGTCGAACGTCGTAGAAAAAGACCAGTAAAATTATAAAGGCGATTGCAACTACAACTAGACAGCCACAGTAGTCCTGGAAATTAGGAAAGGTATCTGGTTAACAACGGAATCACACTGAATGCTTCCACTGGTGTTTTCTGGAAAGTATTCGTCAGCAAGCACCTCTTACAAGCTATTTTCATGGTCAAAATTATAATTAATGTCAACTGTTATGTTAAGATCAGTAAAGTAAATATATTGACTCGCGTTTTCATTTTTCAGTGTGGCGTTAATTATTTTGTTTTGTTCACTTTTCAACATGAAGTGGATATTCCTCAGTATGTATTTTTTGCACATCGATGCGAATAGGAATCGAGGCGGAACTTTGGGGTGATTTGTCCGGTCAGTGAAAAAAAATGTATGTTTCTATTTTTGTTACTTGTGTGGTATCTTTTATATTTGCGTATGTTCTATTTCTATCTCTTTTATCCATAGACAACTCGATATTCCACTGATTTTTATAGGATTTTTACTTGTATTTAAAATTCACCTGTGGCTAGGTAGGCGGCATTTTGAAAATGCATCGGCATCTTTCTGTCATTCAGTAAGTAAAAAAGAGTTTCTGAAATGATATCATATATATATATATATATATATATATATATAATCAGTTCCCCCAAGCAAGGCGGGAGTGCCCTTAGTGCACTGGGAGTTACAAAAAGTGAAACTGAAAAAGAAAACTGAGTATAGGAAGTATTGAGGAAAAGGGTGTTTTCTGCAAAGTATTCGTCAGCAACCATCACTTTCAAGCTATTTTCAGGGTCAAGGGTTGATAATTAATATCAACTGTTATGTTAAGATTACTAAATAGTTGCTTAACATATCTTCAGTCGAGGTTCGGACACGACTTGTACACGAATAGAGACAGTATAGCAAACTCCGTATTTGAGCAGAAAGCGAATGATCGCCTTCTCGTCAAAAAGAATTAACAAAAATTTATTTTGAGGACGTTTTGTTTATTTCTTTCTTTATGCAAAGATATTTTCCGTTTGTTTACAAGACAAGTGAAAGCAAAAAAAAAAAAAAAAAAGTGTGGGGGGTGAAAAACTCATCGAATCAAAACCGTCTGGAAATGGGTTTTGTCGAAAAGACAGATATGGGACGAAATGTTTGGTAATGGATGGGTTTTTATATAAACAAATCCCTGTGAAAATATATGACAGGCGAAACAGACGGCAAATCCGTTTGACGAGAGCCAGGTGCAAGGAAACAAATGGCAGGAAGGAGGCTGGAAACTATTCTGTCCGTTCTTGACTTGAGCTGTCTTTCAAATGTGAAAAATCTCTTGCAATCACTTTGCATAAAAATGAAATGGGGATGTGTTGTGTGCGAAGAAAAAGTTGTAAAAATTCATTTTGATGAATAACCGAAGGAGATGAAGGAGATAATCGGTTGATAGGTTTTAAGATTATATTTTAAGCAGCCTAAGACAAGAACCCAAAGAACTAAATGGATAGATGAGATATATAGAGAGAAAAGAAAGCTTTCGTTTACAGATGGACAAGAAAGCAGACAATGCAATCAAAAAAAAGATAAATAGATAGATGTGAAGAGGCTGAGACAGATAGATAGATAGATAGATAGATAGATAGATAGATAGATCTGGAGGCTGAATAGATAGATAGATAGATAGATAGATAGATAGATAGATAGATAGATAGATGTGAAGAGGCTGAGATAGATCCTGAAAGATAGATGGATGGATGGAGATGCTGAGGCTGGGACAGATAGATAGATAGATAGATAGATAGATACATAGATAGATAGATAGATATAGATGGATAGATAGATGTGGAAGAGGTTGAGACAGATAGATAGATAGATAGATGAGATAGATAGATAGATAGATAGATGAAAGGGCTGGGATGGATAGATGGATGGATAGATAGATGGATGGATGGATAGATAGATAGATGTGTAAGTTGGGATGGATAGATAGAAAGATGGATAGATGTGAAGGGCTGGGACAGATGGATAGATGGATAGATAGATAGATGGATGGATGGATGGATGGATAGATGGATGATGGGGATGGATGGATGGATGTGAAGAGGCTGGGATAGATAGATAGATAGATAAATAGATAGATATGAAGAGGCTGGGATGGATGGATAGATAGATAGACGGATGGATGGATGGATATTGGATGGATGGATGTGGGGAGGATGAGGATGGATGGATGGATGGATAGATGGATGGATGGATGGATGGTGGGGTTGGGATGGATGGATGAAGGGGTTGAGATAGATAGATAGATAGATAGATAGATAGATAGATAGATAGATAGATGACAAGCGACTTAGATAGATATCAACAGTACGTGATGCAAACATTCTGAGTTGGGTAGATAGATGTGCCTTGTCTCTTTTTGGGACGCCAGACGGTTATACCACCATCAACTCTCCTAGGTCTGAACATGTTTTTGTTTCCTGTGGAGATCGACGGATGAATATGCTATCATTCCTATAGAGAGAAATAGACCGGGATAACAAGCGGTCTGGGAGGAACACACGAACGGAGATAGATAGATAGATAGATAAGGGAAGAGGCTGAACTAGATAGATAGATGGATAGATAGATGAATGGATAGATAGACAGATAGATGATGGGAAGGATGAACTAGATGATATGAATAGATAGATAGATAGATAGATATGATGAACTAGATAGGGAAGAGGAATGAACTAGATAGATAGATAGAGATGAATAGATGAGATAGATGGATAGATATGGATTAATAAGGGATGAATAGATGAAATGGATAGATAGATAGATGATAGATAGATAGATAAGGAAAGAACAAACTAGATAGATAGATAGATGGATGGATGGATAGATAAGATAGATGTCACTAACTGATAGATAGATAGATAGATGAATGAATAGATATATATATAGATAGATATAAACTAGATATATAGATATATGATAGATGAATAGATGATATATATGGAAGAGACTGAGAAGATAGATAGATAGATAGATAGATAGATGAATGAAAGATAGATATATACGATAAAGAGAAGAGGCTGAATAGATAGATTAAGATGATTTGAAAGAACAATAAAAGAAATAAAAGAAATAAAAAGAAAGAAAGAGAAAGAAAGTAAGAAAGAAAGAGCTAAAGAAAAAAGAAAGAAAGATATATATAAAGAAATAAAATAAGAAAATAAAAAAAATGGGATGAAATATAGATAGATATAGATAGATAGATGGAAAGCAATGTCATGAACTCGTTCAAATTTTCCTTGGTCTGTCGAAGTACTCTTATGGTATTGAATTTGGTTCTAAGACAGGCAGTAAAGCCACTAAGACACAAGGGGTTAGTTGATATCGAAGAATTCGAAACCTTACTAAGGAGAGAGAACAAAGGAAGGTGAACAGCAGATAGCGATTGACATCGCATCTATATATTTGAAGATTAAAGTTGGCTATGTTTATACTGTTACCTTAGAACTTTACTTTTATATAACGACTCAGCAGTAATTTGATGAGACCGGACAGGGCATACCTTAAATTCGGGCTATATATTTACCATGCTGATGGAAGACAGGAAGCAGTTTCTTAGATCATCCAAATCACGTCGATTTTAACAGCGTCCGGTAAACACAGACACCTCTACGTTAATATTTCTTTCTCGCCTACCTATTGTTCTACCTCCCGAATTCCTCTCGTGAAAATACAGTGTCAGGAAAATAAGCTCTTACATTCATAAAAGTCTTAGTTTCCTGAGCGAAGATCTCATCTTTTTTTTTTACCATTTTTTTTTTTGCAAAAATAATCTTAGGGTGAAACTTTACGGCCTTGGGAAATCGATTGAAGCCACAATGCTAGATCAGGACCTAAAATATTGATGATTCTCTTCTGGATTTTATCAAAGAGCTCAAGGTAAATAGCAGGAGCACCGGACCATATGTGGCAACAATATTCTAAGCATAGATGAATTATAAACTTATAGCTATAGAGGATATAATCTGGAGAGAAAAATTGTCTAGCAAGACACAGTGAACCAACAATAGAGCCAGTATAGCCTTTCCAATTAATATCAAACGGGAACGTTAGCCCGACAAGGCGCAACGATTCGCCCTCTTGAAGGTTAGCATCAGCCATGCTGATGGAAGACAGAAAGTGGATACTCAGATGATTAAAATATCTTCCAAATCACGTCGATTTTGAGAGCGTCCGGTAAACACAGACACCTCACCCACACATTTCCTTCTCACCTACCTATTGTTCGAAGACTTCCCGAATTCCTCTCGCGGGCCAATAAGCAGCAGGAAAATAAGTCTCTCGCTGACAATATCTGGCGATCGTAATCTTATCCGCTTCCTATGCGAGAAGAAGCCAATATTTATTTATTAATCATTTACGTCTCTGCTTGCCCCCGACCGCTGGGGGTCCTCGTCAATATCGTGTAGAACTTATACGCGACCCAGCGGGCGGCTGCTGGTAAAAGACCAAGAAATCATGGATATCGTGTTTCAATTATCCTTGCAAATTACCCTTTTGATGTTCGGGGAACATTAAAATTTTATTTATGATTTTCTATGAATCTCATAAAAATCTTTTAACATTCAACATTTCGAACGAGTTTTGTTTTTATGCAAAGACAACCGGAATTATTTGTGTCTTTGAACGATGCTCTCTCACTTCCGGAAGTTGTCTTGCCTATTTGTGTACAATTCGAAACAAAATTGGTGCCTGTTAAGAAAATAAATGAGAGTTTTACGATAGGCAATGCAGCCAGAAATACCGTATGTACTCGTGTATCATGTGACTTTTGAAGACCTAACTTTGAAGCTAATTTGAATACAGCATAGATAATGGAATCCATGAAAGCAATATGAAAAGGATAGATAAATAGATATATAGCGAAATAGCTAACTAACTAGATAGCTAAAAATAATGTTTTAAAAGAATGAAATAGTCATGAAATAGATGAAATAGATAGATATGAATAGATAGATAGATAGATAATAGATGTCAACAGTAAAGATACGAACAGTCTGAGTTGTGCATTGTCTCTTTGAGATAGACATGAAATAGTCTGAAATAGATAGATAGATAGATAGATAGATAGATAGACTGATAATGAAAAAGAATGAGATAGATAGACATGAATGGTCTGAAAAGATAGATATGAAAGGTATTCGATAGATGGATGGAGATAGATAGATAGATAGATAGATATGAAAAGATAGATAAATGAATGAAATGATAATAGATAGATAGATAGATGGATGATAGATAGATAGATAGATAGATAGATAGATAGATAGATAGATAGATAGATAGATAGATAGATAGATATCAACAGTACGAGATACGAACAGTCTAAGTTGGGTAGATAGATGTGCATTGTCTCTGAGATAGTCTTAAATAGATAGATAGATAAATAGATAGATGTCAAGCGACTGAGATAGATAGATAGATAGATAGATAGATAGATAGATAGATAGATAGATAGATGGGCGATGTTTATTTTAAATACAGCCGTATATCATGACTACAGGAAGTGGATATATAGTTTGGTCAACGGCGTAGCCAGGGCCAGCAGTACATACACTGATTTTATATCTCGTATATGATACGACCCTCTTAAAATTAGCTTCCAAATTACGTCTCAAATAGTGTCATGATACGGAAATATATAAGATAGATAGATAGATTGATACAGTATATATTCGTGTAAGATGTGATGTTTTGTTTAATTAAGGCCGTATATTTTGACTACAGTAAATGGATATATAGTTTGGTCAGCGGTGTAGCCAGTGCACGCAGTACATATGCTAATTTTATATGTCGTGAATGATTTAGCTTAAAATTTAGATCTTCAAAAGTATGATGACACGCGACTATATACGGTAATCATTTTTTTTTCATCTAGATTACACATATCTATATTTTTAAAATTAAATTTATAACATTTCACAGGAGGGTTCAGTTTGCTATATTAATTCGTTGCAAAATGATCCCCATACGGAAGCCAAAACAAAATGTGCTCATACCACATGATTTCTTAAAATTTAAAAAAAAAATGATCCAATTAAATTCGGAATACGTGGCCCTTTTTTTCCATATACTACTCTTGATTAAACCCTCCGGATTATTTTCTTCTATGTGCCGGGTCCCTGAAAGACGTTGGCAATCATGGCTCTCCACAATTTCCTGACCTTTATAAATCTTTTGTCGTTTTCTTATCTCTGCTAACCCCTGGCCTGCTATCCATTTACTCAAGACTGCTCTATAGGCTGTTGTGGTTTTCTAAGTGTAGCTTAGATGTGGCCAAAAGTAGTGGGCACCCAGTTAGAATCGAACTCACTACTCTTAAACTACTGTCTTTTTTGTTCCTCTCAAACTCCGTCATTTCTCACATGTGCATGGTTTTCTCAGCATTCTACAGTAGAACTAACTTTCTCTTGCTTCACGTAATTTCTCCATCTGTGAAGAAATAGTACAGCATTCACTTTCATATAGGAGAATTGGTAATTACGTAACAGTCTAGTAAATAAAAACCTTTCATGTTCATATAATCTTTTATTTAAATTAATTGCGGTTTCTCCTGTGTATTCCTTGGGGCAGTTATTACAAGTTATAGATTGAATGCCTACTTTGATTTTTAGGTTATGATTTTGTTTCGTATTAAGTATTTTCTTGTTTTAGAAGTAGATGTAACTAATTTTATGTTAAGCTTAGTGTTGTAAACTATAATTAGTTAAAAGTATTCACAATAATGTCTCTAGAAGTTTTGTCTTCAAGTTTAGGATTAATGGTATCTGCCATTTCGCCCACGTCGAAACCGGATGTGACACAAGGTCAAGGTTTGAAATAGGTTTAACGGTCATACCACGCAAAAATACCCGCCCCCCACTGCACGTCAACTCAAGAATTGCACAATAAGCCTTTCCCTCTCCCGAGGGTGAGGTACTACACGGTGGGTGAGGGTAAGCCTCCAGGAGCTTGGGCTAATATTCAAAGAATGCCAATAGATTAACATCCTAACCTATTATTATGTAAAACAAGTATCATCGTTTATTTATATGGTGAATAAATTTATATGGTGGATAATTATATGGTAGATAAATTTATATGGTGAAGAATTTTATGATGGATAAATTTATATGGTGGAGAATTACATGGTGGATAAATTTATATGGTGGAGAATTACATGGTGGATAAATTTATATGGTGGAGAATTATATGGAGATTTATACGGTGGATAAATTTATATGGTGGAGAATTATATGGTGGATAAATTTATATGGAGATTTATACGGTGGATAAATTTATAGGGTGGAGATTTATACGGTGGATAAATTTATAGGGTGGAGATTTATACGGTGGATAAACTTATATGGTGGATAATTATAGGGTGGATAAGTTTATATGGTGGAGATTTATATGGTGAATAAATTTATACGGTGGATAGTGTCAGATATTGTTCGGATAGTGTCAGATAATGTAAAAATTATAATACTTCACTATAGAAATATAGACATATCCTGAAGAAGGCCGAGGCATGCAACGACCGAAATGTTGGGAACGAGACAATAAAGATGAGGACAGCAGTCCGAACAATGTAAATATTATAAATCCACATCATTATTAATTCATTAGATTTTTCTTTCATGGTTTCTACAAATTTGCGACAACTTTCTCTTCAGTTTTATTGGCTTTTTTTGTGATTTATTGTTATATGATTTGCGGTATAAGGTGTAAAGTTTCAGAAGGAGAAATCGGAGAGCCGAGTTCGAATTCTGGTCGGGTTTGTTACATTCACTTACGCGCAAATACCATGGTAAATATATGAATCTATCTCTTACCCCCCCCCCCAGCTATGATTTGTACAGAGTGGGACTTATAGCCTTGGTTGGCAACCAGTCTACCACAAAAAGAAACGATAACCTACTGCAGGAAAATTTTCTGACTAGTCCGTCCCAAATCCAAAGAGACATGATCTCTCAAACCTGTATCGCATATGGCACTTAACCGATTGACTAAGTTAGACCAGCGTACTTATCCTGGTTGTCAAACAAGCAATATTTAATTTCAACACAAGATTGTCTTACAGACATATAGATTAGTGGATCAGAGTGCTGGTTTTTAAAAAAAAGTCCTTTATAGTTGTGTGTTCAAAGTCTTTATCTGGTAGTGTTGTAAAATTAGATACGCTTATTCAGTGGAAGAATCAGACGAGCGAAACAAAAGTGTCCAGCATTAATAGATCTGAGTTATCTCCCCTTAGCATGGACGATTGGAATGAAAACAAGTTACCCCTGGGAACTGATTAAAGGTTTTTTTGCGAAATTCCGAGTTTACTGCGTACGAAATGAGACAACTGAAGGCCGAAAGGTAAGCGGCCGAAACGTTGTAAGTATAATATAGCAAACAAAGTTAGCATGTTGGTCTGTTAAATCATGTATTTCATCATAAAATAACTTGTTTTGATTTGATGAATACAATTTATTCTGGAAGGGGTGTGTTCAATCGTCTATGTTTGGCCCGTAGTTTTGGCAGGGAAAGAAAATTAAAACAATAAATAATTGTTTTGAGTCCCTCGTCGTAAAGAAGTACGGCCTCTTCTACGATGTACCATGTCCAATCAAGATGGCTCTCCACAATTTCCTGTCTTTTGTAGCTCTTAATAAATTTTGTCTTTTTGTTATTTCTCCTAAACGCTGTTCCACCATCCATTTACTCAAGCTCATTTTTCTTCTTTATCTGCCATGTTTCTTCGGGTGTAGGCGATCATGGCTCTCCACAATTTCCTGTCCATTGTAGCTCTTAATAAATTGTATCTTTTTGTTATTTCTCCTAAACCCTGTTCCACCAGCCATTTACAAAAGGTCATTTTTCTTCTTTATGCCCCATGTTCCTTCTGGATGTAGACGATGATGGCCCTCCACAATTTCCTGTACTTTGTAGCTCTTAATAAATTTTGTCTTTTTGTCATTTCTCCTAAACCCTGTTCTACCATCCATTTACACAAGCTCATTTTTCTTCTTTATGTGAGATGTTCCTTCTGGATGTAGGCGATCATGGCCCTCCACAATTTCCTGTCCTTTGTAGCTCTTAATAATTTGCAACACAAGGCACAGTGGATAAAGGCGTTAGATAGATCCCGAGATAGGACTCAAAGAGTGTGAGTTCAATGCCCGGTTAAGGCAGTGGAGAACTTGGAGATGGCAATTAACAGGAGATAACTGATAACTGACATCCATTAAACATGGCACGTGGAACTAGAAGAGCCTACCCCAGTGAGCGAAATAAAGGGTTCAGTTCGACATTCCAACCACGTAAAGAAGGCCGGAACGTACAACGGCCGAAATGTTTTAATAAATATGGCGAAAAGATGACGACAATAGTCTGAATAATGTAAATAGTGCTTCTTACCATATTCTAGAAAAATCTAAGCAGAATCATTGTCTACTTTAGGCTCCTCACGGTAGAGTAGAGATTAGTAAAGAAC